GCTGGGGTGGAGCTGGCCTCCCAAAGACCGCAGAAAGGCCTGCTGATGGCTAAGAGCACCAGCTTTGGAATCAGGTTGATTTGAGTTCGAATCCTGCCTCAGCTACTTTCTCTCTGTGACCTTGAGCAAGTGCATAACCTCTGTGAGCTCTGGTTTCCTGGCTTTAAAATGGGGCCATACCACTGTTCTCAGTGCACTCTTCATGGTCAGACTAAGATGACGTGGGGCAGGGAAAGTGCTTAGCGGAGTGCCTGGCACATAGTAGGGACTCAATTTTGGGGAGCTATTGATGTTCTTAAGAGGGCGAACACTGAGTTTGTGGTGTGTCGGGATGTGTAACGAGCTTTGTACTCATTCAATCTCACCAGCCAGAGTGAAAGGCTGGGGGGAGCAAGATGGCTGTCGGGGGCATGGATGTTAGCCCCACCGAGGAGTGTTTCCCCGAGTCTTTCTGCAACACTGATTTAAACCGTCATGTGCATAGCCCACACACGCATGCTGCCTCCTCCTTCATTTTGACTTCCGGTCCTTCCTCGGTTTTCTGCGGATGTGCTGGAGCCCAGCAGCTGCGGCTGCAGGCATCGGACCAGGCCAAGGAGAATGTGTAGCCCAGGAACTCTCATTCACTCTTTGCCCACCCTTCTCAACAGCGGGCTCCGTCTCTCTCCCACAGAGTCTGCCCTGGGTCCCCAACAGGGAGGATGTCCTCCCACAGAAGGAGCTCACGCAGTGTGGCCCCAGGAAGACATGAATCCACTCCCCACACTGAACTTCACAGCAAGTGGGTCTCAGGAGGGTGCTGGTTTCGCCCTGCAAGGTACACCCAGCACAGCTTTAAACCCAGGAAGGTAAACCCAGCATGTGCTTCCGACTTTTCCATCCCAAACCAGGCCTGTGCACCCCTAAAATACACCACAAACCTCTCACATTCATGTGAACGCCTGGGTCACACTCCTTAATATCGATCCCCCATGGATCAATAGCACAAGCATTTCATTCACTGCAGATTCTGTGTTAACTACTATTGCAGTGAAACATTGCGTAGTCAGATTTCATCTCCACCAAGTGTTTCTAGTACTAGGGGATCAGAGGGGGCCAGAAAGAGGAAGAAAGTGTGTGAACCGTGGCTTTTAACAGGTAAATTGTTCACCAGGGGATAAAGAGAAGGATCAGCAAGAAAACTGGTCCTGGCTCTAGTCTTTTTTACTCCATTTTAAAGTTTGGGTAAAAACTGATGTCCTGTTGTCAGGACTGTTTTTCTCCTTGGGGGTCTGTCGCACACACATGCACACACACTCACACCACTGCCAATCAACCTCTCTTAAATGCATGACTACAAGCATAAGAACAGGAAACAGATTGTGGGTGGATGTTCTTAAAATCACAACCTGTTCGATGTAGGGTGGGGGCCATCGAGGAGGGGGGAGGGGAATTGGGAGGGAATTTTTTTTTTCAGTTAAAAATGAATTCACCTTGAGATGACTAAAAACCATGTCCACTCTATTGCCTACCACACTGGCATGTGTGGAGCCAAGCATCCTTCAGAGCTGCACTGTCGGCTTTGACCATGACACAGCACATTACAGTACCTACACGTTGCACCAGGGTCTCGCTGTGATATTCTGGGAGAGCGTTCCATTTCAGCAGTTGCTGAGACTTGCCTCAAACGAGGGCATGTGTACATGGGGAAGGAGGCAGGAGAATGTCAATGAGATGGGGACAGTCTCGGTCTTGGCATCAACGACAAAATCCATGCACGTTAATTACTTGGCACCTCAAGGATACCATAAAGTCACTAAAGGTGGTGGCCGTGATGATGACGATGGTGATAACAGGTAACATTTACTGAACACAATCCATATGTTAGGCTCTGTGCTAAGCCCTTTTATAAACTCCTTCTTAAGCTTCACAATGACCCATAAGGCAGCTTCTAGAAGGATTTCCATTTTAGAGACGAGGAAACTGAGGTTTAAAGAGGTAATAGCCCAAAATCATCAAGCTAATAAATTGAGCAGCGAATCAGGGATGTCGGTCCTTGCTGGAGAAATCCAGCATGGGGAACCCGACGCGAGGGCCTCGGAGGCCCTCTGTAGCATCCTCTCAATTTAAAGCTAAGGTGAAGGGTCATGACCAAGCTTATCCTGCTGACGTGTGGTGGAGGGGCAGGTGGGACCCCAGAGCCCCAGGGTCAGGAGAACAGCAAATGTAATGTTTGAGGAGTAAATGGGTTCTCCCTTCCAGGGCTTTGGGTTCCACTAACCAAGTAACTATGAAAGGAGAGCCGGTTACAGCTGACTTACATCGGGTTAATTTTGGATCCCTATTGGCAGGACCTAAAAGAAAATCTCCCCCATCATTCCCTACTTTCTTATTGCACGCTGTCTTCTTTTTGCCCTAAGGCAAACCTGGTCCCCTGGTCTGAAACTTTCCAGAACTCACTTTATTTCAAATAAAAACCAAGCTGATTTGTCTCCGCCAGGCACACTGCTGTCAGTCTTCCCTTCCTAAAACACATGACATTCCATCAGAAGCCTGCCATAGCTCCCCAGTACCTACAGACTAAAAGCCAACCTCCACCACATCCACCCCCAAGTCTGGCGTCACCTCTTTGCACAGCTTGGCCTGCACCCCCCCCACCTCCCCAGAACACATACAGCTCCCAGGACAGTTTGACCATGATCAGCAATATCTTTCTTCCTCTTCTCATCTTAGGCACACACACTTTACCTGACAACTCAACAACTGTTCCAACATTCACCCCTTCTGTCTTACAAGTTGGACCCCAATTTTTCATGGCAGTGACGTGCCTAACAAAATATATGATTGCCCCTCCCTGGTGGGTTTGGGTGGCTACATGGCTCAGTTCTGGCTGATGAGCTAAGGACAGAAGTCCCTGAGAGGTGTGGTCCTTACTAAACATAATAGTAAAGTCATATCAGGTAAATGTTCCTTGTGCCTCACTCATCCTACTTTCTCTTTCTTGGAAGGCAGATGTGAGGCCTGGAGATGCAGCAGCCACCTTCCTACCATGAGACCATAGACCTGGAGCTAAAGGCCTACACTCCAAGGATGGGAGAGTGGCAAGACAGAACTGAGTTTCCCAGTGGTACAGCTGAGATATCATCCCATCCACTCTTCTTGTTGTCTGGCCCAAACAAGCCCCTAGCGGGTGAAGTCACCAGGGGTCAGGATTTCTGTTGCTAACAGCTGAATGCAATGAAATCTGATGCACTTCCAGACATTGTCCCTCCTCATTCATGGGTCAAATGCTACCTGCTCTAGGTAATCCTCCATGATACCCTCAGAGCATGATAATTCTGCCCTTTGCTGTGTTTCCACAATTGTCACTTTTCTCAGTTCTAACATTTAATCCTGCTTGATTTGGCCTAATGAGTGTTTCCCTGCCAGTCTGCTCAAATCTCTGGAGGGTAAGGGGGCTCTGTCCCACCAGCCGCTCCACGGTGCCTGGAGCAGTGTCTTGCATTGAGGTTGGGGGCTCTGTCTCACCAGCATCTCCATAAGGGCTGGAGCAGTGCATACAGCATGGAGTGAGCGTGTTTTGGGGTCTGACACTCTGCTTACTAGCTGTTTGGTCTTGGGCAAGTTAAAGAACCTCTCTGTGCCTCTGCTCTCTCATCTATAAAAAGGAGAGAAGGAGAGTTCTTACCCCACTGGGTTGTCATAAAGACAAAATAGTTTAATCATAAGCACTGGGGATGGGCCCTGGCATATAAAAGTGCTTAATGACTGCAGGCTCTTATTAGTGTGATGAATATTGTAGCTGCTGAATGAACAGATAAATCAACACACAGTTGCTAAATAAATGAATAAAGGAGTGAAACTCAGGAAAATTCCTCTGGTTTCAGACCCCAGGGCAGTGGCCACTGTTCCCTCTTTCCTGCCTGCTCCTGACTCTTTACTTTTCATTCTAACTACAACTTCTCATATCTGAGTAGCTGCTACAATAGAGTATTTAAGGCTATGAAGTAAGGCCTGGCTTCAAACACTGACTTTGCTTTTTGCTGTGTGGCTTGGGCAAATTTCCTCCCCTCTCTGGGCCTCAGTTTCTTCAACTGTAAACCGGGGATAATAACAGTACTTATAGAGTCATGGTGAGAGTGAAATGATAAAGCACATAAAACACACAGCATTGTGCGTGGCATACGGAAACAGTTGTTGTTAGCAACCATTATCAAACATTGTCATTATTCTTCTTGTCAAAGGCACAGTATCCCGGCGAGTCACACGGCCCCGATGCAGACAAGGCACTGGGAGTGGCGTCACGTTTGGCATGTCAAGATACACTGTACATCAGGAGCCAACAAACAGCTGTGTCATTTTGATTTTTCCCTTAAATGAGGACTAGTTAATATATCTGATTTATCCTAACATCTTGGCCTTGAATTCTCCCCTTAATGGCTGTTAACGTCAGGTAGATCCTTAGCTGACGTCAAACCTGGCCAGGAGGAACGCGTGCACACGAGAACAATCAAAGATCAGAGCTTTTCAACAGTAACAATATCCCCACAGATCACAGGTCCGGCTACGGTTGGTGACACACTTCAATCTCACTTGCAGACTTCCTCCCCAGCTTAAAAGATGTGTACACAGCTTTCCAGAACTTTCCCTTCAAACTTAAGTCAACCGGTTACGTTTGTCCCATTCAAGCACTGGGCGGCTCCATTAATCTATTTTTACCATTAAACATGCCGTTTTACCAGATATTTATTCCACTTGGTTGTCATCCAAACGCTTTTTGACATTAGTGCCCTGGGACTGAACCGCTTAAACTCTGCCCTCATAAACAGAAAACCACCTTTGGATTGAAACCTTGAAGAACTCTCACAACCCCAGCTCTTCACTTCAACAGGCATTAATTTCTGCTCCGCATAAAGGAGAGAGCGTATGTGTGTGAGAGTGTGTGTGTGTGTGTGTGGGGGGGGGTGTTTTAAGAGGGTCACTGTGGGAGGGCTGAGCCACCCAAGGGATGAAGGGGAGGGATTCCGGTCCCCCCAAACCCTCCCCACAGGATGTCTCAGGCCCGGGGAGATGCTGACTTGCAGAGACAAGGGGATCATCAGAGACCAGGTGAGGGGGAGAACTCTAGGACCCGAAGGACTTAGGGATCCCTGGGGTCCACGCTGGGCAGCGCCTCTTTCAAAGGGGAGGGGTCCAGGGAAAGTCACTGTTCCCCCCACTCCCCCCTCCCCACCTCCCCGACGAACAAAAGGCCATCGCGGAACCACTGAAGGCAGAGACCCCACTGGCTTTGAAGCCGCTCAGTCAGGTGGAAGCCCGAGCAAATCACAACTTGGCTTCTCCGTCAAGTTTTCTCCCCAGCCTAACCGACCGCCCTCCGCCGCCGCCGCCGCCTCCGGAGCTGCGCACGGCTCCGAGGCCAAGGGGACCGTCCTGTGATGCTCACTGGTTTCCAACTTTCCGCTCCTCTTCGTCTCCGCAGCCTCCTGCAAAGCGGCTGGGAAAAGGGCAGGTTGGCAAAGGCGGGGATCCCCAGTCCCGGGGAAGCCACAAAGAAGCTGCACCCCGACAAAGATGGACCTCGCGTGGGGCCGACGGAGAGCGCCGGCTGCCGTTCCGGGGGCGACCGTGGGCTCGGGGTGGGGGGGGGGCCGGAGGCGGGGCGTGGGCCAGCCGGCGGCGGACAGCGGGACCCGGGGCCCCCCAGGCACCCCCCCGCCCCACGGCCCCTCCCCACGCGGGCTCCCCGGCACCTGAGCGGGGCGTGGGGACAGCGCCGCGCTCCGGCCCTGCCCGCGCCAGGTGGCTCGGCCGCGCGCCCGCCGCCTGCGGCCACCAGGAGCGCCGAGAGGAGCGGCAGCCTCAACCCACGGCGTCATGCTTCCTGCCACCACAGTACGGCGAATCGTCACCGGGAGAGGGGAGCAGCGGGGAGGGCGGGGAGCACACACACACGCAGCCCCCCGCCCGCCGAACCCCGCGGGGACGGGGCCACGTCCCGGTGGAGTCCCCGCGGGACCTGCCCCGTTTGCACAAAGCGCCGCGATCGGGCCAAGCCAGGGAGGGAGCCGGCCACGAAATAAATAAATAAAAACAGAGTCGGTCTACGTAACGCCCTGTCGAAAGCGGACGCCATATTTTTTTGTGGCTTATGTCGACATAGGGAAACGTAGACATGTTTTTCCTCCTCCTCCTCCTCGGTGTGGCTCGCATTTATCCAAACTTGTAATCAAAACTCTTAAAAAAAAAAATCTCCCCCCCCCGCCCCGTATCCTTGATTTCCTCCCATCCGCAAAAAGAGCCCGCAGCCCCCCACCTCCCCCAACCCTCCCTCCCGCACCCCGCTTCCAATCACAAACGCGGCCGAGTCCCATGAAGAACGCATTTTCGGGAGCCGCGGCGGCGGTGGGAAAGTTGGGCTGGAGTGGCCGGCGCCCGGCGTGCGGGGCTTGGGGCGGGCGGCGCCGGGCGGGGGGTGCTGCGCGCCGAGGCGAAGTTTCTTACCTGCGCCGGGGCTGCGAACGCGGGGACCCGGGCTGGGAACGCGGAGACGCGGCGCGGGCGTTCCAAAATGGAACTCTGCTGGCTCCCCCCCCACCCACTCCCCACTCCCCAGCCGGCGCCCGGGCTCGGGCTCCGTGGGAAATAGGGGGGGACCAAGCCAGCCTGCCTTAGACAGACGGACAGAAAAAGCCCCCGGACGGAGAACAGTGGCCAAAATTTTTTAAAAGAAAAAAAAAAAAAAGAAGAAGGAAAAAAAAAAAGGGGGAGAAAAAAAATGTCTCGATCAGTGGGGAATCTACGCCAAAACCCACATGATCTGTAACGTCAGCATGCGTATTTGCATACGATACCACCACCGAGCTGCCACCCGGGCTCGGGTTCCGCAGAAAGTTACAAAGTGAAATTCAGCCCCCTCCGGAGGCGCCGGCGAAATGTCATTTTCAGGCGGGAGCTGGGGTGGGGGGAGGCTAGCCCTCAAGGCGCTGGTTACTAGCCAAGGGGGGGGGGGCAGTAAATTAACTTAAAAGTCTGAGGCCAGTAACGGACTCGGTGGAATTTCTGCGAGGGAGGAGGGGGAGGCGCGAGCGAGATCATTGAATATTAAGCACGACCCGGCGCGGCGGCCGCGGCCGAACCCTCCCGCTGCAATACCCATTTTCTTTACGAAAAGTTCAAGGTGTCAGTGATGAGCTCAACCAACTGTTGATCCTGAGCACGTGGAGTGGCGGACCCGGGGACCGCGGGGCGCGGCTGCTCGCCCTGCGCGGGGCGGCACCCGGGACCCCGCGTCCCTCCCGCAGCGCAAAGGGCAGCGCGCGGGTGGGGCCTCCGGGCGCCCAGGGCGCTGCCTGCGCTTTCTCCCGCCTTCGGGCTCAGGGAAATAATAATAACTAAAAAAAAAAAATTTTTTTTTTTTAAAGCGAGACACATTTTACGCCTGGAATAGTCATGAGAGGGCTTGGGGTAAGGCGGCTAAGAGCGAGCCCCCCACTTATATAACGACTTGAAATTTGGATGACTTTTGCTGGAGAGATTCCGAGATTTCCGCTAGCGCAGGTCTGAGGTTGGTTTGAAGATCCTCAAACTTTTTTCCTTAAGAGCCAATAAACAAACAGACGCCCGGGGAGCAGACTTAAACTCTTGTCGGGCCGGCGTTCGCTGGGATTCACAGGCTGGGAGAAATGCACACGCCTGCGGCACTCGCAGGGAAGTCCCTCGGAAGCGAGGCGGGTCACTTTCGTAATAGGGACTCTGGCGTTCCCGGCGGGAGGGGCTCTCTATCCGCCGCTGGCTGCTGGTTCCCCTCCGGCTCCTTAGAGCAAAGGAAAGTCAGGATCTCGCTGCCCCTCGCCCGTGGCCTCGGGAACCGTGAACTTGCGTTCTGGGCGCGGCGCTCCTGCAACAGTGCTCGGCTAAGAAGCTCTAAGGGATTGGGATCCAGGGGACGCTTCGGAATCTCACAGGGCAACCTGTCTGCGCCGCAAGTTCCTGCCCGCATGGACCCGTTTCCCCCTCCGTGGGCATCTCGACGCGTCAGCATCTCCCGGTGTGAGCTGGGCGCCAGCGCGCACGAACCGAGTGGGGGCGAGGGGGATGCTGCCTGGGGTCTACTTTTGACATTCTGAGCGTCAGCGAGAAAACAAAGGGAGCCTGGGACTGGAGGCACTGCGGGGTCCCCGCCCGCCCTGAGGCTTAGCAGGCGCGGAGCGCCGGGGCTTCCCGGCCAGCCTGTGCTCCGGGGAATTAGAACGAACTCTAGCGGCGGATTGCGACTCGGCTCTGGGCGCGAGGGCAGCAACAGGTGGCCGTGTGCGGCAGAGTGGCCGGAGGCGAGGCCGGGGACTGGGGTGGGGATGGCTGGCCTTGGGGGCTGACCGCGTGGCCAGCGCGCTGGGTGACCTTTTGGCACGTTCGTTTACTAGGCAGAGGAGAAGAAAGTAGCCAAACGGTGTTTTTTTTAGAGTCTCCCCTGGGGCTCCAATTTCTCTAACAGAACTCCTTGGGTCCCCAGAAGTTTTTACAATAAAAACAAAAATAGCTCGTATGCAAAACTTTTTTTGCTGGCCTGCACCTGTTTGTTCGGTTGTTGCTGATGTAGAGTCGGTTTGCTTTTTAACGACACGTAGGCACATAAAACTAGGTCCTGGCCTGGGAGGGGGTCTTTTGCGTGCTGCAGTCAGACCTGACAGACGACTGACCAGGCTTTCTGTTAGGGATTGTGTTAAGAGCTTCCTTGATGATTATGATCCACATCACGGCGCATCTTCCTCAAACTCATTTGATCCCTACTGTCTAAGGTACTCATCTACTTCATCAACATGAGAATTTAGGGATACTGTATTTTTTTCTTCCCTCAAGGGTGTGCCAGAAGAGAAAAAGAAAAAAAAAATACCCCCACCAACTTTACTGTTTTTATATTGCTTACTCTTGACTCTTCTAGGTCTTACTTTTACTTACTCCTGACTCTTCCAGGTCATTCCACCTCTTCCCGCCCCCTTTGAAAATAAGTATAGTTCTGTTTGTTTCCCTGGAAATTAGTGAAACCTCAAGGAAGCGATTCCCGTTTTGAGGCTGCACCTCCTCTTGATGGTCAGTCGCTTAGGAGGATTCTCCATAAGCCGAGGGTCCTCCCCCCCACCCCACCTCATCACCACCAGCCTCTGGCTGGGTGAGAGATTCATGGGGTGGGAAGGATCAGGGTTGAGCCAAGCAGGGAAAACCCTCTGGACTGTCCTCTGAGTTCCCACCTCTTCATCTTCAGGCACTTGGACCTCATGGACACTGGGGTGGGGTGGGGAGTTCTTTTTGTGTTTTTTTAATTGAGGTAACATTGGTTTATAACATAAATTTCAGGTGTACATCATTATATTTCGATTTCTGTGTAGATTACATCATGTTCACCACCCAAAGACTAATTCCCATCCATCACCATAGACATGTGCCCAATCACCCCATTTGCCCTCCTCCCTCTGGGGGGGGGGTGGCGGATGGTTCTGATGTGCTGCAGTATCTTTAAATAGTTCAAAGTTTAGCTGGAACTGAACTTTCACTATATAAACAAACAGCAGGGAATAAAACAAGGGTGACTTTTGCATGAAGTACTATGATTTATTTGCTTTATGTGTAGGTGGAGTAGGAAAACCCTTATCTGATATGATTCAGGAGCTTTGGAATCAATAATTATCCCGGTAATGTTCATGAGTGCTTTGGAGTCATACGCCAGTTTCTCCTTAATCGTTATAACATCCTATCAGGCAGTGATTCTCAAGATGTTTTGTCTCAGGTCCCCTTTAAACTCTTAACATTATTGAGGACCCCAAAAAGCTTCTGTTTAGGTGAGTTATGTACGTTTTGATATTTACCATATTAGAAATTAAATTGAGAAAGATTAAAACACAAGAATTTACGAACAAGCTTTCCACTAGCCATCAGAGCAATGACACTCTTACATGTCACGTAGCCTCTGGAAAACCACTAAATACTTGTGAGAGAATGAGAGTGAAAAGGGCCAGTAATATTTCAGCCCTGTTGTGAAAATAGTTGTGACCTTAAGGACCCCTGTTAAGGTAAGTTATATTATTATGCCATTTTATAGATGAGGAAACCAAGGCTCAGAGAAATTTAGTGACTTCCCCAAGGCAAATGGAGGGAGCAAGGATTTAAACTAGGTTCATTAGAGGCCAGAGCCAGAGTTCCTAATGATTCCAATTCCATCTTTCTGTAGCCACCTGAGCTCCATCCCCAGCCTAGAAAAGCCTTTGGTGCTTCTCCAGAGTGCTTTTATTAACAGCAATCATGTCTTGAGGCCCTACTGGGTGCTAGGCTCTGTGCCAGCCCTTCATATGCATTATCTTGTCAAAGCCTTACACCTACCTACCCTATGAGTATGGTTTCTCTCACTTTATAGATGACAAAACTGCGGTTCAGAGAGGTGAAGAAGCTTCTTCAAAGTCACCAGCCAATAAGTAGTAGAACCTGGCTTCAAATCTTTGTCTAGTGGCTTCAAAACCAAGGATGGACAAGAGTCCATCATGGTGTTTTATAAAGGCCTAGCAGGGGTGAAAGCAGCTTCAGTTCATAATTTGGGGAAAGTCAGGCCTGGCTGGGAAGTCTTGAAAGTTAGGAATTGGCAGGAGGAGAAGAAATAAAAAACAGCACTACCCTTGACGAGCCCCTAATTTAATGCCAGCGAATCCACACGGGCTTATAAACCCAAGGAGACCAGGTGGGAGCAGCAGAGATTTGGAACTGAGATGTGAATTACAAGTTTGCCGCTTCCAGCTGTCTGATCCCCACATGTGCTTGCTAAATAGATGTTTTTTAAACGAATGAGAAAAGACAACACAAGATACAGAGAAACGAGCAAAAAATCCAAAAACAATTATCAGCGGTCCAAGCAGGTACTGGTTATAATTTTGGTATATATCCTTCCGTGTGTTTCATTTAATTTTTCCTTTATAAGACTCTTAAGAGAAATGAAAACTATTAAATATCAATTTACCAAATGTAGCGTGGAACAGTCACTACTGACATGACTTATAAAAAATCGAGGCGAAGTGTGACCTTTTGGAACGTTCCGATTGCTTTACCAAACATCTACAGGTGGGAGCCAAAAGAAAATACTAGGTAGATGCTGTTTCGTTCCATGTCTGCATCTCCCCACCCCACGGTTTGATAGGAAGTGTTTCCTGCCTGGAGATGCAATCCTGTGGCCTTGGGAAGATGGGAGCTGGCACTTGTTGTTTTCAAGTTGATAGCAGGAGCTTATCAGCGCAGTTGACTTAGCAGCGCCTTGAGCCTGCTTGGAGTGTAGAACGGAATGTTTACAAAACAGGGAAAACTCCGAGCTTGGTACTTATTTGATTTCACGGTCTGGTTTGATCTTTGCGTCATCCCTGTAAGGTAAGCAAGGCTGGTACTATTATCACCATTTTACAGAGGAGGTTACCGAAGCTTATAAAGGTTACACTGATTAGTTCAAGTTCGCAGACAAAGTTCAGAACCGTGATTCAAATCCAAGTCTTGTAACTGTAAGGCCAATGCTATTTCTATGCCTCTTTTTCATCATTTGCTATTGTACCAAAAGGAAACTAAATGGGGCCACTGTTAGACACCATCCCTCTTTTTTGCAGAATCCTAGGGGAGAATTATCACCTAACAAGGTCTTTTTATCATATACTACTTTTTTTTTCTGCTTTTTCTCCCCAAATCCCCCAAGTGCATAGTTGTATATTTTAGTTGTGGGTTTTTTTTTTTTAAAGATTGGCACCTGAGCTAACAACTATTGCCAGTTTTTTTCTTTTTCTTCTTCTTCTTCCTCTTCTTCTTCTCCCCAAAGCCCTCTAGTACATAGATGTGTATTCTAGCTGTAGGTCCTTCTGGCTGTGCCACGTGGGACGCTGCCTCAGCATGGCCTGATGAGCAGTGCCACGTCTGCACCCAGGA